ACTTACCGGATGTCTCTTGTAACGATCCTCGGTCTCAACTATCCGTATACTTCCTTAATTGAAGATAATTCGGCGTATTATGCTTAATATGCTTACACTTGATGTAGTATGCTCTTACGAGTGTTTATGGGAATATTTAGTCGTTTATGAAATATAAACAATTTGATATTAATCTCGTGAATAACAATATATAATGTAACCCTAAATTCTAGGCTAGTAGTTTCAGGTTTACCCAAGAGGTAAGTAGACATCATGAAATTTATATAGTAATTTGTTGGGCTTAATTAGGTTGGTTTTAGGGCCCAATTAGCCATAAAAAGGAGATTTTTAAATAATGCACAAAATGCCAAGGACCAAAAGCGCAATTGTATCGTTGAAGGAAAACATGCCGATTTTTGGGGGGTTTTATTTTATTTTAAAGGTGGGGTTCACCCATTTTATCTTCTCTTCCTCTTTTCTTCTTTCTTTCTCCATCTTCTTCCCCCATTATAAGAGTTTAACTCAAAGTGAGGGTTGAAGTTTCTCTTTTACATTCATAAGCTTCAAATCCATTCTTAATCTTCTTCATTTTCATCTTGAGTTAAGAAATCATTGTATCCATGCTTAGCTAGAGAAAAAGGGTGGAAAATAAAAGTCAAAAAGGAAAGTGCTTGATAGCTAAAGGAACTTCATTTCAGGATCCTAGTATCAAGGTGGTGTATTAATAAACCTTTGAGCATTAAGTTTTCATAAATCACAAGAAATTGCTAAGATTTGTGGAGTTTAGCATTTAAGGTTTCACTTTTGATTTATACCTTAAATCAAGAATTTGATGTTTAATGTGTTTTATGACACCTTAAGACCTTAAATACTACCCATAATATTGGTGCATGATTTAGAACCAAACTATGGCCTTTATGATAAATTTTCAGTGTTTTTCGAGCCTATAAGTTTTTAGGTTCGAGTATCGATATTGTCGATAATGGGATGAATAGTATCGATACTAGTTAAATTGGGGTAAAATTTAGGGTTTCTAGGTTGAAGTATCAATACTGCCAAGGTGAGTATCGATACTTCTAAGGGGAGTATTTATACTACCCCTGCAGTATTGATACTCAGATTGAGAATATCGATATTGGGGTCCCAATTTCACAACAGAATGCATTTTTGTACCGACACTCATAGGGGTATTGATACTTGACCCTAGGGTATCGATACTACAAGTAGAGTATCGATGCTACTTGCTTTGGATGGTCTGATTTGATCCGTTTAAGGTCCAGAGGAGCTAAGGATGATCTGTAATAGTATGACTTTGTCTGCAAGGGACATAAATGACTAAATATTCCCATAAACACTCGTAAGAGCATACTACATCAAGTGTAAGCATATTAAGAATAATACGCCGAATTATCTTCAATTAAGGAAGTATACGAATAGTTGAGACCGAGGATCGTTACAAGAGACATCCGGTAAGTGGTACGATGATTATGTCAGATTCAAAGGTTGTAAAAAGTATGAACTTCGAGAATGTCAGTGAAACCAAGAAAAATAAGTCGTCCTTTTTAGTTCAAGAGGTCCTGAAAAGAAGTACGATAAAATCGAATAGAGTACCGCTACTTATAAATGAACCCGAGCTATATATCGGGCTAGTCAGTCCTCAAATAACAAGTAAGCCTTCGCTTAACGTTCTAGGTAAGAGAATGAGTGGGGTATTAGTTACTGAAAGGATAACCTTACTTTAGTGAGTCCGATTAGGTTAGGGATGTAAGTTTCGATGTACATAAATTTCGGTTCTTACCCGAAGACCCTTGAGTACCCAAGGTAGGCTAGTGTGTTATCTTGAGATGCACGTAAGTTCCTCTGACCACACCACTAGACCCACCTCATGTTGTGTTAGTTATGCATGTATAGTTATGTCAGTTTAAGCTTCTGATGCATGTAAATTCCATTTCTTACCTTTAGGACTATTCCGTGTTCAAGGTAGAATGAGTTGTTGCTCCGAGATGCACGTAAATTCCTCTAACCACACCACTAGACATGTCCCATGTTTGTTTGTGTCTGTCATGCATGTATAGTCTCATCAGTTCCCTGTGTCTGTTATGTTAAAGCTTCGCTTGAAGGCTATGTGAGACTGAGCCAATGTTTCAGTATGTGAGGGAATTGTATTAATGCTATGTGATACTAGGTTCTCTTTAGTGATCTACCTGATAGCTATGTGAGGATCAGCAGATCATTCAGTATGTTTGTGAGAATTACGCCGATGATATGTGACACCAGGGTTCCCTCAGTAACTAGTGTCTGAGAACTATATGAGACTAGATACTAATCAGGTATGTATTCAGATAATGCACAATATGTTAGAGGAGATACAATTTATGTACTCAAGGGTCTTCGGGTAAGAACCGAAATTTATGTACATCGAAACTTACATCCCTAACCTAATCGGACTCACTAAAGTAAGGTTATCCTTTCAGTAACTAATACCCCACTCATTCTCTTACCTAGAACGTTAAGCGAAGGCTTACTTGTTATTTGAGGACTGACTAGCCCGATATCTAGCTCGGGTTCATTTATAAGTAGCGGTACTCTATTCGATTTTATCGTACTTCTTTTCAGGACCTCTTGAACTAAAAAGGACGACTTATTTTTCTTGGTTTCACTGACATTCTCGAAGTTCATACTTTTTACAACCTTTGAATCTGACATAATCATCGTACCACTTACCGGATGTCTCTTGTAACGATCCTCGGTCTCAACTATCCGTATACTTCCTTAATTGAAGATAATTCGGCGTATTATGCTTAATATGCTTACACTTGATGTAGTATGCTCTTACGAGTGTTTATGGGAATATTTAGTTGTTTATGTCCCTTGCAGACAAAGTCATACTATTACAGATCATCCTTAGCTCCTTTGGACCTTAAACGGATCAAATCAGACCATCCAAAGCAAGTAGCATCGATACTCTACTTGTAGTATCGATACCCTAGGGTCAAGTATCAATACCCCTATGAGTGTCGGTACAAAAATGCATTCTGTTGTGAAATTGGGACCCCAATATCGATATTCTCAATCTGAGTATCAATACTGCAGGGGAAGTATAAATACTCCCCTTGGAAGTATCGATACTCACCTTGGCAGTATTGATACTTCAACCTAGAAACCCTAAATTTTACCCCAATTTAACTAGTATCGATACTATTCATCCCAATATCGACAATATCGATACTCGAACCTAAAAACTTATAGGCTCGAAAAACACTGAAAATTTATCATAAAGGCCATAGTTTGGTTCTAAATCATGCACCAATATTATGGGTAGTATTTAAGGTCTTAAGGTGTCATAAAACACATTAAACATCAAATTCTTGATTTAAGGTATAAATCAAAAGTGAAACCTTAAATGCTAAACTCCACAAATCTTAGCAATTTCTTGTGATTTATGAAAACTTAATGCTCAAAGGTTTATTAATACACCACCTTGATACTAGGATCCTGAAATGAAGTTCCTTTAGCTATCAAGCACTTTCCTTTTTGACTTTTATTTTCCACCCTTTTTCTCTAGCTAAGCATGGATACAATGATTTCTTAACTCAAGATGAAAATGAAGAAGATTAAGAATGGATTTGAAGCTTAGGAATGTAAAAGAGAAACTTCAACCCTCACTTTGAGTTAAACTCTTATAATGGGGGAAGAAGATGGAGAAAGAAAGAAGAAAAGAGGAAGAGAATATAAAATGGGTGAACCCCACCTTTAAAATGAAATAAAACCCCCCAAAAATTGGCATATTTTCCTTCAACGATATAATTGCACTTTTGGTCCTTGGCATTTTTTGCATTATTTAAAAATCTCCTTTTTATGGCTAATTGGGCCCTAAAACCAACCTAATTAAGCCCAACAAATTACTATATAAATTTCATGAGGTCTACTTACCTCTTGGGTAAACCTGAAACTACTAGCCTAGAATTTAGGGTGTTACATTATATATTGTTATTCACGAGATTAATATCAAATTGTTTATATTTCATTTTTTTGTTCTTAGATTGATTTTCTACAAAATTTATTCAAAACCAATAAAAAATCATTTAAAAGTTCTTTAAAATAATTTAATCTATTCCGACAATCGTTCAAGGATACTTATTTTGAAGTACATTGTTCATCTGAAAAGTATTCTTCTAAAGAATTCTTCTCAATATATTTAAATTTTAAAAAAAGTAACCTCTTAAAACCATAAAATTTCTAAACCACTCAAAATGATAAATTTGCTATGTTTAATTTTTAAGTTTAAAAAGATTATGAGAAAACTTAAACTAATATAATGGTAAAAAATAATAAAATAAATTTATTACTATCAAAAGTTAACCCAAAAGAAATTACCATCCAGCTCAGTTGGTAGAGCACAAGGTTCTTAACCTTAAGGTCGTGAGATGGAGTCTCATAGAGGGTATGTCATAATTTGAAGGTCTCCTATGGAAGCTGCTCTCAACCTAGTGTTGGGGGCAACCTACTATCTTACCTCCCCTTTACCCCATTACATATGGGAACAAGGGACAACTATATTTAAAAGTGAACCCAAAAGATATAAAAAAGATTAGGAGAAAACTTAATCTAATAAAATGGTGAAAAAAAAGAAAAAATGTTTATTAATATCAAGAGTAAACCCAACAGATATCAAAGAACGACAATTTTGATAACAAAATAAATAACAATAATTTTTATATTAGAATTAGACTGTCATATTTTCCATTATTAACTATTTAATAATTTAATATCAAAATTAGAAAATAATATTAAAATTAAATCAATGATAAAATATAAAATTTTGTGAGATTTGAGATGGCTTACGATATTATAAATTGATTTGAGATTATTTTTGTTGCTAAGTCATTAATTAAAAGTGGCATGCTATAAATTGATAGGCCATAGTACTGTGCAGTTGCAAGAAAAGTTTGTCGCCGACGGCTATTTGGAATTCTCATGATATACAATGTAAGTCAATCTCTTTTTCCAGGATCCATAGCTGACAATCAAGAATCGAAATTTCTTCGAGATTGGCATCAGGTAGTTGTTCTTACATTTATGTTCGGCCTCACAAATAGATGATACCTAACAATCGTGCTCCCGATCTTAGGTCCACACAAACCAAAAGAACGATAAAAGAATTATTGATATTTCTCTAGGTTTTAGATTCAAGCACAAAAAATGTTAGTTAAGGTTTTGAATTCAAACACAAAAAATGTTAGAGGTGTGAACGTTAACGTAAAAATCTTACATAATTATCAATAAATAGATATTACCTTGTATTTATTCCTATTAAAAAAATGACCCTAGGCCCCGAATCAGAGTTATCCGCACTCTTCAGAGCCTGTAAAAGCAACCAAAAGAAACTTCAATGAATCTAACCAGGCATCAAGATTTGCTCAGCAAAATCTATGAACACAGCTTGATGTTTATCTTCAACAGCTAATACCACGAGGCAAGAAATGATGAGAAAACTTGGTGGATTGTCTATTAATCTTGGTCAATGGAATTAATTCCTTTACAAGCATTCATACTTATTATTTGTATTGAATAAATAAAAGTCATCACTGACCTGGGAATTTTTAACAAGATAGCAAGAAATCATAGCATGGGTTAAAAAGAAAGAGGCAAGGAGAAATATTTCAATGAAACATTCATTTTCCGTATCTTTATTTTACATGATACGGATTCAAGAACGGGGAAAAGCAAAACACAGCTCTCAATTAACTACAAATCTCACTCTTTTCTACAATGGTAATGAAAAGTCTAATTAAATAAAACCTCAAAAAGATTACCAGAATTAACAAAAGTCAGAAAAGATAAATACATGTTATTTTTTAACACCAAGGGGGCTTAGGAAGCAGCAGCCAAAGGAGGAGGCGTTGGGGGAACTTCATGGAAAAAGCTTTGATCCAACCCATAACTCAAATTTTCGCCAACTTTATTATCCTCTTCCTCGGCATCCCAAAGAAATCGTGCATATGATGCTAGCACAAAACTGCAAATTTATCAAAAAGAGCATATAGAATTACGTTAATCGTTGCGTTATTAACCATATGTAATACGACCCATAGCTTAGAGTTTGGTTCCGAGGGTATTTACCAGTCATCAGGGGCAGCTTTAACAGCCTGATCAAAGTAAGTTTCAGCTCTGGGTTCATCTTTGCGAGTTTGCCAGATTAAATTGGCATACGAAGACAGAACATTCCCATCATTTGGATTTGCCAAGATTGCTCTCCCGTAATATTCCTCGGCTTTCACCGAATCCCCACGAACCTGCTTTGGATTTCATATATTAGATCAAACTCAGATACCCAAAATTCATTTTAATCAATTTTTGGGAAGAAATAAGTAAATTACCTCTTGTAAGAATCTAGCGTAATTGCCGAGGAGAAGAGAATTTCCAGGATTAGCTTGGATCATTTTCTGATAATAAGAATCGGTGATGTCATTTCCGTTATTCGGATCCCAATAGCCCCATTCGTTATCACCACCGTCGGATCCACCGCCGCAGCCTCCTCTACCCCCGCTACAGATCTTTCCTCCGCCATCGCCTATCCCACACTCTTCCTCAACTCCAAGTGACGCCGCTCTCAACCACTCAAATCCAGCTTCCTCTTTCTCCACCTCCTCTTCTTCCTCAACACAAACTCCGTTCAAAATTCCACTACCTTTATTACCGGCTTTCATCATCGGAACCACCAGGTCACTCAGATCCGTCTCCGACACTGCCCTCTTCATCTTCCGAGTCAAATCGTCGCTCGATCTGACGGAACACGAAACTGTGAACGAAACAGTTCGGGTTCGGGAAATCTGGTAAGGCAACTCGTGCTCCTGCGAAGGCTCCTTAGAGTGCGGGGCCCATGAATTGAGCAACGGAGACGAAGCGCTCCTCAAAAGCATTTTTTTGGAATGAATCGGAATATTAAGAAATTTTAAAGGGTTGATTCTCGAAAATAAGTCAAAGATAAGGTACGAAATGCTTTGGCTCCGCTTCTCTGCTGCAGCTGCAGCGTTTCTAAGGGAAGAAGCTGGGAAGGAGAAGGGGCGGTAAAAGTTTTTTATAGACAGACTAAGCAGATGGACGGAGAAGATCTGGACCGTTAGATCTGACACATGGTTGTCCACGTGGGTTTTACTGAGCTGGGTCATTAAAGATCCGTTTGGTTTGCGAGAAATTATAGGATCCATGCGAATTATCGCTCCAACTGGTTAATTCATGGTTAAAAGTAAATAAGATAAAATATATTTTAGATCATTTAATTCTATATTTAATAAGAAATAAGATTTTTTTTTTAATTATAAATATATCACTCACCCTTAAAATTTAAATATAATTAATATGTATTTGGAATCGGATATAATAATAATTTTAATCTTCAAAGATTTATTATCTATCAATTTGATCGTAATTTAAAATATTTCAATAAATTTAACCTCTTATCATTGAAATCTTTGTTTTTCCTAATTATTTTTTTTCTAATTATTTTTTTAATTGAATAAAATTGATGTTATTTATAATAAGTCATGTCACTTGGTAAATAGACTTATTATAATAAGTTATGTCACTAGGTGAATAAACTTATTTTTAGTTTAAAGTTGCATTCATTCAATTATACATATTAACTTTTCAACAATTCTTCTATTATTTTTTAATTTTTTTATATAATAGTAATGTTGGAAAAATAATAGTTTAATTGAATAAAATTGATGTTATTTATATAAGTCATGTCACTTGGTAAATAGACTTATTATAATAAGTTATGTCACTAGGTGAATAAACTTATTTTTAGTTTAAAGTTGCATTCATTCAATTATACATATTAACTTTTCAACAATTCTTTTCATGAAATGTTTTAACTATTCATCAAAAGATTCTAACATTTTGATTCATATCCCCTCACCTATATATAAATTAGTTGAGGCACAATCTTAGACACAACTTTGAGATACAACTTTGAGAAACAATTCACAAAGTTGAATTAGAAAATCACTTAGAAAATTCCTTTCAAATCCGTTCTTTCCGGTGATAGAGAAAGGCAAGTGTTTGACTGATCACTATGGTTGTGCTTATTGTTGTGATCGTTTGTTGTTGTATCCTGGGAGACCGATGTCCAACGTACTCAAAACACCAGGAGATGATGAATTTGTCTTAAAGAAATTGTTCATACAGTCCTCAACAAAAATTCTTCTTCAATTTATGTTTCTCATCTGATTTAGTGTCTAAATACGAGTAAACAAATCACATTCCTCTATTTTAATTTTTTATTTATTTTGATTCGTTTGATTATATAATAATGTTTTTTTATTATTATTTTTATTTTGGATTAAAAATTTTTCTAACAATCTTAAGATAGATTCTATATTTAATTTTACAATTCTAATCTGATACGAAGTGTAATCTATATGTGTTGCTCATTACTTTTTTGTGGCAATTTGCTATCGACATATCATTGAAATTCTCAAGTGGAGCAAGGTACGCAACCCTACTTGCATGAAAATCATAATTGTTTTTCAAGAGCATTAACTTTGAACATGGTGATGCAAGTGTCATATAATATTTGGTCACCGCATGAAATTTTCTTTTAACTAACGGTGACTTAGTGAATTTCGATCAAATATAGAAATTGTTCTATCAAATGATTATTCGAAACTTGGTGGCGTGGAACACAATGATTTGTTGTCCACCAAGTTTTGTATTTTGTGGTTGTACCTATGTTGCGCAACTTGAACCTCATCGGAGCACACCTTTGTCCTTTATGGAGGCGTACCTTGAACCCACGTATTGATGGTTCGAGATTGGTTGGCAATGAATTTATAATATTGATCAAGAAATCAAAAAGATATGTGTGACCCTTCAATATTTATTGTATAATATATGTACATTGAGGGATTTTAGTTTTGACTAAAATTCGTTACGAGAAATAAGGTACCGAAAGAAATTATGATATGTCTGTGAACAAAACTCGGGCCTATAATTCTGTTTAGGATTTTAATCCTGTTGTTCAACAAAATTTATTCGATTTACTGTTGATAACAGAAATCGTTTGGAAGTAACAACATTGTTACAAATTTTGTTTTAGAATTTTAATTTCTAATTAAATTTTGTTGTTCAACATAAACAAATGGTACAATAAATTTAATTAACTTTCAATTTATTGTTGGAATATTTACAAATTCTAGTTACGTGTTTTAAATGAAACAATGGTAACCCCATTGATTCACCTAACTCGTTGATTTAAAATGTTGATTCCTGTTTATAATTTGAAAATTCAACGATGTTAGTGGTTGTGAGCCACAACGAGAAGCATGTGAAATTCATGGATAAAATTTCAAGACATAGCGGCATAAGATGTTATATTTAATCATACTGTGTAACACCCATCTTCCGTATACATTTTCGTACATGAGATACAAATGTCACATCACTTTTAAAATATTTCCTCTTTTAAAAACTCATAAAATTTTGTTTTCAATTTTTCTTAAAACATAACATTTTAAATATAAAGCAAAACATTAATTTAAATATGTTAAGAGGTTCAACTTAAATACAATTCATAGCATTTTTCGTACTTTAATTACATACAAAATTTTCCTATAGTTACTGACGAGTCAACCTTAATTGATGATCACTGCTGCTACGATTGCACTCCTTACGCAACTAATCTTTGCCTTTACCTATGCGTGAAATCAACGCACATTAAATACTATTTAGTGAGACAAAGAAACATTTCTATATACACAAGTATACCATGTTTATTTGATTTCAAACTATTTCGTATCATCCATAAGGATTATATAAATCCCTATTATTTAAACAAATTTTCTTTCATACCATCTTTGTAACATTCTTAGTATGTCCAACATACCTTTCTTTATGTACATTTTCCCATTATTCTTAGTAATTATTCATTAATTTCATTTATGGCATCCTTTCATACCTTTAATGTACCGTTATGCATTTCATTTATGTCAAATTGCACTGTTAAGCATTTAGTCTTTTACTCAAAGGCATATAGCCTTTCATCTAACTTGCATGATTGACACCTTCCTGTCAAATGCACAGCTATGTCGTTAATATTTTACTCAAAGGTATTTAACCTCTCATCTAACTGGCATAACTGACACCTTTCTGCCAAATGCACAGCTAGGCCATTAATCTTTTACTCAAAGGTATTTAACCTTTCATCTAACTGGCATAATTGACACCTTTCTGCCACATGCACATCTAGACCATTAATCTTTTACTCAAAGGAATTTAACCTTTCATCTAACTGGCATAATTGACACCTTTCTGCCAAATGCACAGTTAGGCCATTAATCTTTTACTCAAAGGTATTTAACCTTTCATCTAACTAGCATAACTGACACATTTTTGTCAAATGCACAGCTAGGTTATTAATCTTTTACTCAAAGGTATTTAACCTTTCATTTACCTGGCATAATTGACACCTTTCGGCCAAACGCACACCTAGGCCATTAATCTTTTACCCAAAGGTATTTAACATTTCATCTAACTAGCATAATTGACACCTTTCTGCCAAATGTACAACTAGGCTATTAATCTTTTACTCAAAGGTATTTAACATTTCATCAAACTGGCATAATTGACACATTTCTACCAAATGCACAACTAGGTCATTAATCTTTTGCTCAAAGGTATTTAACCTTTCATCTAACTGGCATAATTGACACATTTCTGCCAAATGCACAACTATGCCATTAATCTTTTGCTTTGGAATAGTTTCTACTCTAATAATTATTTATAATATCAATCAACTCTTTCAACTCATTATAAACTATAATTTGCACACGTAGTGCCCATTACAATAAAGTCACAAACTTAGTATTATTTACATAAGTTGCACACATATTACAAATATCGAAATTCATAAACTTATTATGAATTTATTATTTTTGTACACAAAGTGCCCATACAAAAATTCATAAATTTATTATGAATTTTATAGCTTTTGCACACAAAGCGCCCATACGGAAATTCATAAACTTATTATGAATTTTTTGACTTTGCACACATAGTGCCATTTGGTAATCACTATACATATAATAAGAAACATGCAATTATGACTATCATAACATATAAGTACATAATAAATGCACTCACCTGGCTTGACTCGCTATTATACCCAATACGCCAATCTGATTACTCAGCACTTTGCCTTTGCCTTTAGTTTTGTTTGACTTTGGAGTTTGATTTTGATCTACTTAAGCATTCATTAAAGACACATACAATATCAATTGTTAGTATATTCACTAACATTTATACTTAAACAATAATCAAAAAAACTATTATTATATTTTCTATAACAATCTTAGCCTATTTTTACATTGTTGGCTCATGAGTATCGATACCCCTACCATGGTATCGATACTACTATACCATGGTACCAATACTCTATTACGTCACCGATATCATTTCTACATTCTGTTATCAATGGTATCGATACCATCCTCATAGTATCGATACCCCCTTTTGGTATCGATACTACATGCATCAGTATTGATACTACTCAGCTAATTTTACTAATTTTAATCCTTTAGTAGTAGTATTATTCTATAAGTACCGATACCATTACCCAGATTTTCCACTTTTCAGCCATAATCTTACCCAAATTTGGTCAACTCCTTATATTTACCCCCAAAAATACAATTAAACTCTTCTCTACTTATCCCTACTAACTTTTCTTCATTTACCTTCTTAAAACATCTAAAATCTCTCAAGATTATTTGAATCTAAGAATCACCCAACATTTTCTAACTTGTTTTTGAACTCATCCAATACTTCTAATCTTCATTTACTTATTTGACAAGTCAAATCTACTAGTAAACATCAATAAACATTCATAACTTAACATATCATTTCAAAACCCATTTTCTTAAATCTTTAATATTTCCTCCATCTCATAGTTTTTTATCTTATATAACTTTTCTTTAAGCTTACATATCACTAAAGTTTGCAAGAACCAACCAGAATCAAAAGGAAACACTAACCAATTAAAACTTTACATTTTCTAT